GCGGTCACTCCAAATCTTACAGAAAAAAATCCATTGGCCCTCTACCCTGTGAGGAAATAAAAAGCAACCCAGACAGTCTAGTCCCTTCAGTCAGTTTTGTTCACAAAAGATAACTTTCTTCTAATAACAGGCACACACTGGCAAGCTTTTTCCACCTGGCATCTACTACATAGGTCAACTGTCCCTTTTCTGTGTCTCCTTCACTACACACTTTTCCTGGATTTGCATCTTATTATTTGTACTACCATAGCACATAGAAGCCCTAGTCATGGACCCGAATCCCCCTGTGATAGGCTCTGTACAAAAACAGAACAAAAAGATAGCCCCTGCCCAAGGAGCATACAATCTTAGTATGAGACGAGAGATGATCAAGACAGACAGGAGAGAGATCAGACATTACCAAGTTGTTCACGGGAGAAATAATGGGTCCACAGGATCACAAAACAAGAACAGAAAGGAAGGGGAGGTCACATTAGTTTTATAGCACCAATGTGTAAGCCACATCTCCTATGCCAGAAAGCTTACAGTCTAAGGCCTGATCCTGTAAACATTTAAGTTCTTGCGGAATCTGGTCCTGAATCGACACTGTAACAGACAAAAGCAGAACCAAAAAAGGACTTTTTAAAAACCTCAAGACCAATGTGTACTTACCTTTTTTGAGCATTCCAATTTAGGCAATTTATACACCCAGTCCTTTATTTAAATACCTTTACCTATTTGTTTTGTTCTTAATACTCCTAATACACCTTCCCAGACGGTTTTTATCATCTATTACCAAATGCTCAAGTGGACTTTAGAGAGAGTTGAATTTACGACTAATTTAGTTAAATTTAAAACTAAAGAAATTGTAAGAATGTATCTTGTTCAGAAACTTCCTTGTGTAACTGCATATCATACATGTATTTTATAAAAGGTATTCAGTTACAAGGAAACTATCGTGGCTACGTCTACGAAGTGGTGAAACCATGCAAGCAATAACCAAGTTTAAATATGCTCACTGACTTCCTTGTCCAGTGGGGACAAAGCTTCCCCCAGCAGTCCCAAGCTGATTGCGTCAGTCACCTAAGCATATAACAGCTGTAAAACAGTACAAGGAAATCTAACATGGCTTCAGCCATTGAGTAGACAAAGCCTACAATACTTTATGAATATGAATGGCCTCACCTAACAAAACAAATAACATTTCATGAGATGATCTGTAAATAACCCAATTATACTGATAAAAGCTTAAGATCTGATGTAGTAAGCCTCAGAAAGTGGGTGGAAACTTTCCTAGAAACTCCTAATTGTTTATTAAAATTTACACCTGCTATTATTATTAGGCTCCGAAGAATTAGACTATATTGGTAAATGTTGGAAACGGTCGATTTCACTGTACACACATAACCCAATGAAAAAAATATTTCATTCAATAATGGAAATTTACAAATGAGCAAAGTAAGAAAAATGTTGCTTGACAACTTAAGAGTTTAAGAATAGATACTTTGTATATTTTAACATGTGATGTTGACATTTTGTGTTAACAATTACAAAGCTTTAACATTTTAAATATCAATGTCTGTCATTAAATAATTATTTTGACACCACCGATTGCCAGAAATACACCCCATAATTTCCTGCAAATATGAATTTTTATCAATACATATTTTTAAAATGTTTAAAACTAAACATTGATATTATATGTCTAAATTTAAAAAAACAACTTAATTCTGTAAAGCCTAGTTGTAGTTAAAGTTGAATCGATTTAAAACCAGGTGTAAGGCTTAAAACGTATGTATACATTCAAAGGATGCTAAATCTATTTTTGAGCAACTGAGTGTTGACAAAATAGGAAGATTTAAATTGAGCCCTAATCTGACATGGTTTTTTTGTGCCCTTCAAGAAACCATTTTTGTTAGACAGAAATGCAGTAGATAAATGACTAGTGCAAGTTACATAATTTTTTTTTGAAGTATGCTCAGTTCAATTTCTCTGTATGTAGCTGAGATGGATGCATTTTAGTTGGAAAACAGACAGGCAAATTTTAAAGTCAATAGGGCCCCTTAAGTGACAGCTGAGAAAATTAGGTGTAAAACACATGGACTACTAACATAAACCATATCTTGGGGTGGGACTATCTTCACAGAAGGACAAATTTTCTCTAACAAGCTCCCCGGTTATTGATATAAATGATTTTTCTTCAAATGAAAGAACATACGTCTTATAGTTTCCAGTGTTGTTTTAGCTGCACAATTTTAATATTAATTTAAAAAATAATAAAATAATATATGGAGCTATACCTATCTCCTAGAACTGGAAGGGACCCTGAAAGGTCACCTAGTCCAGCCCCCTGCCTTCACTAGCAGGACCAAGTACTGATTTTTCCCCAGATCCCTAAGTGGCCCCCTCAAGGATTGAACTCACAACCCTGGGTTTAGAAGGCCAATGCTCAAACCACTGAGCTATCCCTCCCCGGAATTCCTGTTCCTGTGTGTAAAGTTGTTACAAAATTTTACTTATTTATATAAACTATGTACTAAAGATATGGTGAACCCTGTTTAGATATTAAATTGAAGCAATTCTGTTTTTAGCTCCTGTACATACTGTAGTTTTCACTATCATCTTTGGTGTCAAATTTTCTTATATGACTATTTGTTAGTTTTACAGCACTATGTTGGCGGTCTCAACCTTTTTTACATTCTTTGAACATAAAGTGCTAATTTTATGGAGAACAATTTATTTTAACTCACCATACCTCTGTAGCACCAACTAATATACCCTGGAATGTGGTTCAAAAATCAGTTCTATTTTCTTTTCGACATACACTGGTTATTGCTAAGAAAAGGATTTGTTTGAACAAAGTACTGCTGGTAAAATGTGCCAGTTTGATAGCCCTGGAAATTTAAACCCTCTTTGTCTACACAGTAAATACTGCATGAGTATCTATATAATTTAACCTGAGGAACTCACTGACATACAGTATTATTGAGGGCAACAGGATTAGACATTTATGTGAACAAGAACATCCACGGTTACATCAGAAAGAATGAAAATGTGCAAGGGATATTGACCCTCATGACCGATGGCCTCAATCACTTACTAACTGATAGGAGTTAAGAATAAACTTCTTCTGAAGCATATAGCACTAACCACGGTTAGAGACAGAAGACAGGGTCATACAGACTATTGGTCGTATCCACAATAGCAATAGTTCCTTCAAATTGACTGTTGAGACAGTACTTCTAAACAAACAAACCAAGTTGCGTTACTAAATTTTGATTAAGTCTGACTTTTCTGAGTAAACAAATAGTGCAAGACTGAGACCTCGTCTACACTACAGAATTACTTTGGTATAACGGCGTTGCTCAGGGGCTGTGAATAATCCACACCCCTGAGTGATGTAGTTATACCGACCTAAGCACCGGTGTAGGTAGTGCTAAGTCGGCAGGAGAGCTTCTCCAGCCAACAAACCTACTGCCTCTCGCAGGGGTGAATTAACTAAGCCGACAGGAGAAACTCTCTCCCATAGTCTTAGAGCATCTTCATTAAAACACTAAAAAGGCTGATGCAGCATTTTAAGCAAGTGTTGACCTGTTCTTCCAATCCTATTTTACTTCCAATCCTAGCGCTTACAGAGATGGTACGTGACCCTGGCCAAGTCATAACTTTGGTGCTTCCGTTTCTTCACTGTTAAATGTACTTACCTACCTCACAATGTACAGTAAGAATTAATGTTAATGTGCATAAAGTTTTATTACTGAATACAACATCAAGTTTTCAGTTTTAAAATTTGTGAGATCTGCTTACACCTTAAAATTAAAACAAAACTGGATCCTTGAGTTATTACTGGAGTTACACACAAGTGCACTTGACTATCTTGCATGCGACACTGCATGCCAGAATATTCTGAGTAAATTTTTCATTTAATATCACCGTTAATGAATATTTTAGCAGATACAGACTGCCATGATAAACGTATGCCAGTACTCATAGACTTTAAGGTCAGAAGGGACCATTATGATCATCTGGTCTGACCCCCTGCATACTGCAGGCCACAAAACCGTCCCTACCCTTTCCTTGACTTTGCTGATGAAGTCCCCAAATCCTGTGTCTTAGTGACTTCAATTGGCAGAGA